TGTTTTTCTCATGATACAGACTTGAATGAGGCATTTGAACTCATTTGACAAAGGCTGTTCCAAAGGACACCTTTTATCCTGTGGAGCTGAAGGCAAATAAATGTAATGAGCCTAGCTTAGAGAATATAGAACATTAGAGATGAAGGAACTTGCATATCGTTATGTAGTCCCAAAGCTTGCAAAAATCCAATCTTTTTGTGTTTAGCAGTATCTACTAAATTGTGATGGGGTATAACTATAGACTATCGTTCTGAAATAGAGATGAAGATGTCACTAATTCTGTAGAATTCTTCCAAAATGTTTTGGAACAGTTTCTCTTGTAGCATGCCTGATCTATCTTCTAATTCCTCCACCTTGTCTTTCCCAATGCTTCTTTCCTTGAGGTGTAACGGTTCAGATGCGTGTAGAAATGTCACCTATACCTTTGATTGAATTATATTTCTGTATTGTTTATGAACTTGCTATGCATTTGCAATCATTATTAATAAATCAGTGTGCTTTTGTCTTCTGTCACAAAGTAATGTATGTATTCAAAAAGAATTGTATGCAAAAAAGTCATGTTTTAGAACTCATATCATTAATAATTATCAGTTTGCAGTATTGTTACATGTTTTGAGGGAAGCTTATTATAAGAGAAATAACAAGGCACTGCACAGTAGCAAGAATAAGACAGTTCAGTTGATCACTGGTATAGGTGTTATAAATATGCCAGTCTGTACTATAGTGTTTTATTAAGTCTCAAAAAGTCAAAGCTGATTTGAAATAATAATGTCTGACAGTCAGTGCTTTGAAGTTTTGCTGCTGCACTCTCACATTTAGGCTTTCTTTTATGTATGACTTTACCACAAAAAACAAAAACACACACACGGCATGAACGCCTTTTTTTTTCATATCTGTATTTCAAAGAAAGTAATAGGAGGCTACTTCAGTGAATTAAAAGGAAAAAGAAAGGAACAGCCCCCCCAAATCGATGAGGATAGGTGCAGGCCACTGTAAGGTCATACAGAATTCATGTAAGCTATAGCTGGCGTTGGTAACTTGTTGAAGACTGTAAAAGTGAAATTTAAAAAAAAGCAAAAAAGGGAAGAGTAAGGAAGAGACAAGAGGTAAAAGCTATCCTTGATAGGAACAAGATGACTTTCATTCACTCGGAAGAACTTGAGAGCTTGGCTGTGATAGCTAACACACTCATTCTTCATCATCGGTCGTGCAACAAAGAGCTGGATTCCATCCATTCCATGACTGATTGATTACCCAATGGACAAATGTTAATTCTTTTCATTGATGCTTTGTCATTGTGGAGAGATCCTTTTCATCTAACACCTAGGCTTTTTTTTCTCGGCTTTTTTTTTTCCTGCTTATTTATCTTTTAATATCCTCTTCTCATTCACCTTTGCAAAACTGTCATGCTTAACAAGATTCTCACAGTGTTTTAAACTCCTTTAGTCTAGAACTAAAATTGCTAACGAAGTATATAATAAACCGTGATATTAAATAATGCACAATGATTTCATTTCGTCATCTGAGTCTAATTATACTTAACTTATTTGCTGTCCTTGAAAGAAATTTTTTCCTAGTTCACAAGAGAAGAATATAAAGGATTAGAAGCTGTGCGTTGTTAATATAATAAATTGCTCCAGTGCAACTTCGTGAGTTTGATCTTACATGTGCCAGTAGAAAACGTGCTCCTTTGCAGCATAAACCCAACTGTGGTTTATAAAGTCAGCGAGAAGAGCTAAAAATGTATAAATGCTAATTTCTTTCTTTGCTTCTTTTATAATTGTCTTTAACAAGAATACCCCTGAATTTTGAAAATGTCGGGATCCACAAGGTTTTGGAATGGTTCAGAAGCAGAGCCTCAGTGCAGGGAGGGTGATGCAGTGCAGATGTGAATTCGGGCTTCTTCAGCGTTCAGTGCTGGATTCCGAGTCGATGTTTTGTTTCTATAATGAATCAAATCAGAAAATGAATCAATATGGATGAAGACATTTTACTGATGTCAGAAGATATCTTTGTAGATTTTGTATGTATGTAAAAATTAATTTTCAGTACAGAGAGAAGAAAAAATCCCTTTCTGATTCACAAACCTTTTCAAAATGTGTGTTTGTGAACACAGAATACAGAACTTGAAGGCAGACGTGCCTTTCAAGTATAAGCCTTTATATTTAGTTTTGTGTCTAATGTGGAGGACCTCCAGAGAGCTTTAACACATATCATTATTTTAAATTTTAAATATTGTGCAGATTAAACCTGCTAATTGAAAACTTACTGGAATTTCAAAAGAGCTATTTCTACAATATTATAAAAAAGTTTACTAAAATGCTCATCGTGTGTTTTTGTAATCTTCCCTATAACAACATACAGTAGCTATAAACTGTGTGGTCAGATCTCTAACATAGAGTTTGAATGAGACAGAGGGGTTTAAAGAAATTTTTCAGTCATTTATAGAGAGAAAAATTGTAACCAGCAATGCGGTTATATCAAAAAGAAGGCACACAGATAGACATGTTTTCCATTCCAGTTCTTTCTCAGTCTGTCTCTAGAAATACGTTTTTTGCCCTTATGTAATATAAGAATACTGCAGATAAACATGGGTGTTCTTAAGAACAGTAAGAGAAGAAATAAATCAAGCGCTTTTGAGGAAAGTATTTTATCAGCTCCTGTGATATCCAAATTGTTTCCTTTTTTATATATACTTAAATGTATCTCCTGCTTTGTATGAATTGAGGAAAATATCTCAGTTAAAAAGCAATAGAATACATAACCTATAGTAAACATCAAAATAAAACTCTAAAGCTCTTTTTTTATTTTTTTCAGGGATGAGGGGTCTGAAATTTTGGCAGGGGAGAAACACAGAAACATCTTTTTAAACTAATGATGATATCACAAAAAAGGACAAATTATAATGTTCTATTGATAATTGATGGTTATTTCTTGATTCTTCTATTATCAGGCCAGAACTCATAAAAGTAATAAGTGCCTGTTATTGTTAAAAGTAAATTGTTATTATATAACAAGTATTTTAACACTGCCTATTGCAACTTACAGCTCCTTAATTTTGTCTCTTTCATAGAAAGATATAATTAGTAAATAAATTAGCTTTTCTACTGAAATATTACTTCAAAAACATTTACGAGCTGTCTTGTCTTTCCACGGAGGCTTGCACGGTGAAAATGTGTTGCAATTAAAACCTGATCTTTGATCTTTTGGTAGTTACAGTTTGGTTTGCTTTCAACTGGTTTTCAGGTTTTTTTTGGTTGGTTTTTCTTTTTTTTTTTTTCTTTTTTCTTTCTTTGTTCGTTTCAAAGGAGTGATGCAAATGTAAATTTTTAGGCTGGAACTACTTGCACCTTAAAATGTGATTGGCCATATGACCTTTTTCTTCCTTAAATTTCTCCTTAAATCTTTAACTCCTCCTTTTGTGACCCCTGTGAATGCTTCTCCTCCCTCTGAGTATTTTTAGAATCCTCTGAGGTGGAAGAAACTGTAACCTATTGCATTGATGCGATCTGTTTTGCCATTCTTATTCTGGGCTTTTTGCTTTTGTTTTCACTTGTGTGAGTGCTTCTGATGGGACTGCTGACATGAGAATTTGAGCCACAATTTGGCATTGATCTGCCAGTAATTTAGCAGAAGATAAATTGGGCTGAATTCTGTCTTCTTGTACACCCCAGTGTTAATTCCCACTGGAGTGGGATCAGTGGAAACGCTTTCAAAACTTGGAACATTATTAGTTATTTAGAAAGCATCGTGTAAATTCACCTCCACCTAACACAAATGGCAGCTTCCTATGAGAGTTTCTAACAAGCCAAGGTGCCTGGCTATTCCCAGCGTGTGTGCTAAGATGCAACGTGCTCAGCACCACCCAGAGCGTTAAGTGGTCTGTAATGAAGGCTCTTTGCAAGGATTCATTTCAGGAATAGTGTTGCATTTAAATAAAGTTTTTGCTGTCTTGCTAGACTGGGCCTAAGGTTTTCCAAGGAGTTGAGCATAGACATTATTGAGTCTACCAATGAAAGTAAATGAACAATGTTTAATGGAGATTTTATTAGTACTAACTGGGAAGGGAAAATATGTGTTCGATTGTTTGTAAAGTTTACTTGATAATTGTTTATAAATCTGAATTGGCGTTCTTAAAGTCGTAAAACTCTGGATCACAACATCAGCCATAAGAATTCTTGTCTTAAAAATCACCTTTTGTAAGTTATCTGAAGGTTATGTATAATTTAGACTACAGAGCCAATTAGTTTAATTTAGGAAGAGAAAATGCCTTTAGATTTTATTGAAGTCTGTTATGCTCAATATCAAATTTTCTAGTGGAATTGGGGACTGATCATATGAAATGTAACTGAGGCCAATCTACTTTCTCCTAACTGTAATGACTTCAGTGACAGTTTTGCCTACAGAAGGCCTCGCAGATTGGGGCAAAGATTTGAAGTGTATTCTGAACTTCAAATTATGAAAGCCTATCTTCTAATCATTGCATGTTGTTTATAGTGTACTGAGAAAATTTCTGATACTGTGAACATCCAATATGTAGAGTGCTTTTATGAATTCCACAGAGACATTATATGAATAACTTTTGCATTGACATGGGTATAAAAATGGGTTTCAGATGCCACTGTGTGCCAAATTTCCAAAAAAAGCTTCTAAATCTTCATGTATAATTTCAAGTGTACAATCATTCTCAAATGAAAAAGACAGAATTTGTATATACATTGGCAATCTATGCATGTAAATTGGCAGTTAGCATGCATAAATCCTGAACGAAGTTTTTCTTTCAATTAGACCCTTGTTAAATCCATAGTAACTCCATTAACCTCGGTGGAATTACATTGGATTTAAAATGCAGTTAAATGAGAACTCTGTTTGGCTACAAGTTCATTTCCCTTTGAAACTATGGTTCAACCAGAACAGGGAGAACAGTTTTAAAGTGAAGGTGGCACCTTTTCTCCTGATGTGCGAGAATATATTTGATAATTTTTTTTTTCTTTAAATAGATTCATCCTGCATGGAAAAGCTACTTTCTAAAGACTGGAAGGAGAAGATGGAAAAATTAAACACAAGTGATCTCCTTGGAGAAATTAAAGGTATCTCACTAGATCAAATTTTAAATGTTTGCATATATTTTAAAAAGGGGATTGAAGATTTTTTTTTTCAAGTTCAGACAAAAGAATAGAAATAACAATCATAACTGGAGGGTGCTTTCCTCTTTCCAGTCAGTTCACCCTGGTTTTTAATGTTTATCTTTACGATGATGGATGCATCTGCCAAATAAGTAAATTAGAGTATGTCGCGATCAGCTGTGGGCAGTATCAAGGTTGTTGACACAAACACCAGGTTAGTTACATTAGTTCATTGACATTAAGCTATGTATCTCTGTGACCGGAGGAAGAGGATGAAACGTCCTGAAAACATGGAGTTACTTGTACTTGGCACTTGTATAATTGTTGCATAATCTATACTTTCAGATTATAAAAGGGAGCAACTGAGTGGTTAGTGTTCTAAATCTTTGATTCAAAATTGGGAAAAAATAGTATTTGTTTATATTCATGCTATTCCTGCAGAGAAAGAGCAGCTCTGGGTGAAATTTGGGACCTACTGAAATCAGTGCAAGTGTTATTGCATATATAGTCAGTACTTTTCAGTGTTTCCAAGGTGTTGAACCAGCAATCTAGTGAAAGTGCAGTTCTCTTGACAATTAAGTACTATGTAGAAAACTTGAAGTGTTTTTCCCCACCCATCAATTCTTCCATGGATTTTCTTAGTGAGAAGGAATTCAGTGTTATTGATTAAGCAACAAATTTAAAAGGTGGTTTTTTGTGCTGTGTGAAGGGATCATAAGGCATGTTAGAGGAGTACACAAGGTACCTAAGATTTATTTCTCTTCATTGGTATAATTTTATTAAATAACATCTACAAATATGTGGAAACAAAGAATCATGTGCATCATATTAAAGCTTTACTAGTTCAAAAAAAAAAAAAAAAAAGATACTATTTGATGAAAGTTTGTGCTTAGGGTTTTACATTTCCACCAGCGAAACTTAAGATAGTTCAATTTTTTTATTGCACAAACAGATGAATGTTTGGCTCTTTTTAATAAGTCAGTTATAATTGGCTCCTTCAGCTGATTCAGGACCAAAATTTGTTGGATTCTCCTGTTGGATTTTTTTGGTAGAATTATGACAGTGCCTATATGATGCAGGTAAGACATCGTATAGTAATGCCAGTGGCAGAAATATAGTATGCAGTTTTACAGGAACATGTTAAAATTGACTGTAATAAAATCCAACAAATTTATGTCTTCAAATCACATTCTATTTAAAGCCGTATTGTCTCTTAATGCTGTGGAAAACACTGAATGCTAGTTTGTCCATTAATTGCACAATATAGCTACTTAGTCTTTAAATAGAAACTACTTGAATATTATTAGTGAATCAAAATTAAAAGAGGTGGGATCTCTAACAATGCGGAATAATGTTCTTTATTCTTTTATGTGGCTCATAGAGCTTTTTCATGAGCTTTCATTTATTAAATAAAAGGATTGTTTTTCTGGATTTACGTTATTCCTCCTATTTTCTTAGTATATATATTCACTGCAGAGTGAATGGGTAGATTTCTTGCTCCTAACCCTTTTCTCATCTACCTTCAAAGCATTCTCACCCAGATTTGGAAGAATTTTCAACTCATTCAACTATCTTTTCTGGGGATGTAGCTTATTAGCTGTACCAAAAGGATCACCTGATTAGGCTTACCAGATTTATTTGTTGACAGTCATTCTGTTCGTTTCCACAAGTTACTTCCTGTGTCTCATCCCTACAAATCTATCCTTAAGCGGTCTTAATGTCCGCAGTATTCCTCTGCACTGCTAGCTGACTTCCCACAAGACGCAACACTGAATCTTTGCTACTGCAACTGCATTTAACATTTTTCGTGAACAGGCAAAAATCAAAATAGCATACACAAGTGTGGAAGATAAATGATGGTTCCTGCTATGTCGTGCTTTACGCTTACAGTATTCAAACCTCTTGACAGACATCAGTGTCGTTTTATAGAAGAAAACAAGGTGCAGAATTACATAGGAGGAGTAGTGGCAGGTCTGAAGCAGGACTCCTTTCCTTTGGGCTGCCAAGGCAGTGGCCTAGCGACTGTTTCCAGGATGGTTAGCTCCTAGCTGATAAAATCACTATCAACCTAATAGCCTGGTATTGACTCATATTAGCATTTGTGTGCCTTAAATCATATCAGAAAGAAAAAACCCGATCCAACAGTCTAGCCGATGGCAGCACAAAAACCAGATTACAAGAAGGATATAAAGCAAAGTAGGGGAACCAGAGAGAATTTTTAATCTGCTGAAGAAGCATATTAAAAAAAAAAAAAATCTTTTCTGTGTTCAAGGTGGTAGATTTCCAAATCATGAAGTTCATTTTCATAGGGCTGAATGAATTTCCATTTAGGTAACTGGCAGGGCATTCTGAGGTCTGAAAGAACTATTTTTGAAAATGTGTCATCTTTGAGAGGTCAAATATTTTTTTTTCCTTAATTTCCATTAGATTCTAAATCGATTTATTTAACTGGCTGATATTTTTGTCTTTTGTGTAAACTTTCTGCTCATATTACTGGGTGTCTAATGTAAAGCCATGAAGCGATGCAGTAAAAATAAATAAATGGAGTCATTAGGGGAAAAAAAAAAACTTGATTGTAAGAAAGTGAGGTGTGGTCCTGGTGAGGAACTGCTCTTTGCACTGACTGTTACTGGGAGTTGTTTATTTTAGCGGGAAGGCGTTGTTCTTGCTAAGGATAACCTGAGCACATACTCTTCCTCTGTGTCTGCACAACTACAACCCTCCCCCCTTCAGTGAAAGACTAGCATCTTGGTTGTGGGAAGGCAGTTCACTAAGAATCAGTGCCAGAAAAAAGGATGAAAGCAGAAAAAAAATGTACCACTGACACAAACTGTTTCTATTCATGTTTGGGAAGCACATAGACGAGAAGAAGAGATAATTGGCTGGGAGAACCAAATAAAAATGGTGTTTTCTTGCTTTACCTTCTATATTTAGAACACAATAGTGTTAATCAAGATATAATTATAAACTATATCTATTAATTCAAACAATAGAGGCCAATACAAAAGTAACAAACAGTGAATCATTTATTTTTTCTCTAAGTGGGATTGTTCCTGTTCACAATTACTCTTGCATAGTGTACTGCATTTGTAAAACTGCTTTTTCTGAGTTTCTTTATTAGGATTTCAGTTATTGATAATGGTCCAGATTCTTCCTTGAATTCCAGCCAAACAAGCCATTGACTTCAGGGCGGTTGCATGAAACTCAGAGGAGCATTTGGCAGAATGCTTTGTAGCCAAATTCCAGTGGTTAAATAAGTCTGCTTGTTCATTTGATATGTTTATAAATGAAACACATAGGTCAAATTTTCAAAGGTCTATGAAGCAGTTGAGCAGAGTTAAATGACCTGCTCACCTGGAAAAAACCCCACAGCTGCCCATGCAAATCATTTGATTGTATGCTATTTGCCAGCGTGTGCATGCAAATACATTTATTTAAGGTATACAAGCAATTTGTTAAGCTTATGTCTGGCTTTTGCAGTGTTGGGGTTTTTTTTGTGTAACAATTAGGATCAGGAAATACTTTTCATTCTATTTTTTGTTATCATGTATTTGAATAAACAAAGTGGTGCAGGACTCTTTTCTAAATTTCCAGATATTTGGGTGCACAGAGTTCTGTCCTCACACTCCCTTGCTGCGTATATTTATGTTGCTTAGTTATCTAGTTTTTCTTCAGCAGCCACAGCTAGGCAGAGTAGCATCATTTATCACTATACAGAGTCTGGTTTAAGTTTTCTGTTTCTGTTCCAAATATAAATCTCTGGAATAGCATAGTCTTGCATGCATCAGGCAGTAGTCCTACTGAACTAGCCTGCAATGGTCTTTCTCAGCATGCAGGGTCTTTGAAGATCAAATAAGAAAGGTCAGTCTTTAAGTAACTTAAGCGATGATGTTATCATGAAAGGGTCAGAATCGCTCTAGCAGTCTTATAGAAGAGTGACTCCTGGGTCATGGGCTACTGTCTTGCAGGTTAGTTCCCTGGCTTCCATTGGTGGTGTTTACAACTGGAACTATCTGTATTTATAGGCATTGTGACTTGAATGTCACATGCTGTCTTTGTACAGTACTATTTTGGGAAGGATTGTCATTGATGTCCATAGCTTTATCCAGTATAGAAGGCTGTTTGCGTTACGTTTCCTGTGCTTATTCCTTCCCCTTTTATATCTGTTACTTTATTAAAAAGAGCCCCAAACTCCTATTTCATGTGACATGTACACATTTAATGGCCTCAAAATATTTGGATAGGTGGGAGACAGCATGCCTGTTTCCTAGGAAATGTTGGATTTGGTAAAATGAAGCAACTTCACCCACTTGATAGTCTCCTATAAACAATATGGAAAGTTGTATTTGTCCATGGTATTAGAACACAAGAGAGATGGAAAGAGGTGTTTCCTAGGAGCATTTTTTTTGTGTGCGCATTAATGACTGGAAGAGAACAGTGAGGCACAACTGTTTGAATCTAGTAATTTAACACTATCCATTTCTGGAATAGTCTTGGAGAGAGTTCTGCATGAATGAATCCTTGAGAAAGTTACGGTTTCTGTGTTTTTGCAGTGAATTAAATTTTTTCTTTAAATATGCATGATTTACAAAACATTTTTAAATGCTATTTTTGCTTCAATTTTATAAAATTTGTCTTCACAGATAAGCTTTTGCGTGTTTCTTGGTGCACTATATCAAATGTGAAGATCGTTTTGAGGAAAATAAATCTGATGTTTTCCTGTAGCCCTGACCAACACTGTAGTCTAGATTTTCAGCAATTATTTCTCAGTATAATTGCTGAAATTTCCTTCTCATGAATTCTAAGGGTATATGACAGTCTGCCTTATAAATATGTATAAATAAATATATATAAGTCTTATATCACAGAGGTACTCGGAGGTTTTTTTATTATGTCACTTTGTATGGCTATAGACATTTCAAAGCTCTCCGTTGTGCTCTCTGTTATAAACATATTTTATTTCT